TTTATTCTTTGTTGTGTGCATGTACAATGCTCTTAAATGTAGTGGCTCGAGAATGCCGGTGTCACACGCCACTCACATATTATCTTCTGATTAATCTGTAGTTATAAAATCCAGGGTATCTAAAAACCAAAAACAATTAAAACTCAAAGGATAGGTAAAAATACGCAGCAGTATTTTCCGAGTACAAAATGCCGTTCAGCAGCGACACGTGGATCCTAATTTAATGGGATATTTCGTGCGAGATAAACTTTTACCTTCACTAGACGATTTCGTCCGTAACATTACCCAGTCTCTTTTATCAGGGTTGCCATGCCAAATAAAATTAGACAACCATAAGATATATAATAATTATAAGAACTGGCAATACACCTTTTATAAAAAAGTAACCAAACACTTTAGAACATAGAATCAAAGGCTCTCAAATCGTTGGAGAATCGGCGGGTCTTCACTTCAGAACAGGACCAGGCGATACTAGGCGATAGTAAGAGGTCAGTTAGCGACGTCTAGCCGCGAGAGTATAAGCGCATTAGCTACCGACGTGTAAGCAGCTCCAATACTACTATGAGATTAACATTGTTTCTAATCAGCTACCAAATTTAAAACTTATTAGTATCCTCCACGCTACGTATGAGCCTACAGTCTAACCGACGCCAGACCTCAGTCGAAATGGCCAAATGCCTCGGTCAAATGCCATCACCAACCCTAAGATAAACAGGACCTTGCTAACCCCAACCCGTAAAGAATTTTAATTTTTTCGGGCCGGGGTCCGAACCTCCTACGAGATTCCCGCGCCTAAGGGGCGCGCGGGGTATGTGGGACTCAACGATCTGCAGGTTTTGAGAGCAGACCGCGGGCCCAAGGAATTTTAGGGCCCACCCACTAAATGACTCCCCTGCACTCTTACACCCGACGTCTGATCCTCTCCTAGGTCAGAACCCGGATGAGGTAGGAGGGTTACCGCGGTCAACACTACAACCAGACAGCGCGGCTCACCCCAAGGACGCCCAGCCGACGGAGCCTTCGAGGCGAATCGAAGGCTCTGAAACGTGAGCCGTCTAGGTACGGCAGCCCGTCAGGCCGCCAACACGGTGCCGCTGGTGTCCCGGAATACCCCGCTAGACCAGAACCAGCCTGCCGGGTCGGGACGCGATACACCGCCAACCGGTCGCTCTATTACTCCTTGGCTAGAGCGCTGGTAGCGCGCCGCGCGGCCTCTACCCCCTCTGGTCGCCCCTTAACCTTCACCGGGGGGAGGCCGCTACCTACAGGGAACCGGTAAGGCCTACCAATATATTAATGTGCTATCACCACTTAATATTCAACACTTAAAATATCGCTGGTTTGATTTTACTTCACGATGCTGTTCCCTCATCACGATCAGATACTTCATGATCGGTATTGGAATAGTTAGGTTAGTATAAATCAATTGCTATACCTCAACCCTAACAGTTCTCGCAAATGGAGAAAGGCCGCCAACTTTTAACGATTACGTAAATTTTAGTCAGTTTATTTTATTCATACAGCCGGCCCTCTGACGGTTTTCAATTTAAGTCAGGAGCCGACCGGCCAACGGAAAAGTTTTGGTAGCAAAATCATTCCACGTTACAAATATGTATGTAGCATCTGATGTTTCCCATAATATTAGCGGAATATTGTACCAAATCGAAGAGTTTTTTAGAAGTTTGGTAAACTTTAGTAAATTTGGTATTTGGAAGTTTTAATATTAAATGTTATAGTATACCTACCTAGATATATTACTTGATATGTATTTCAATCGATATACAATTAGACACAGCGTAGGAGAAACGAAAAAAGGCCGATATTTATAGGAGACCGAAGTAAAAACATGACTTTTGGCACAACATTTTATTGTCAATTTTGATGACGATTTTTAACGCGAAGTAATAGCCGCCATTCCAATACAAGTGACTTAAGGTCTTGAAGTCGACATAAAAAAATATTTTGCTTCAGTAGCCTTATAACATCAGAACGTCCGAAAGCTCGTTTCTTGTCTACGCAAAAAACTTTAAACACGAATATTGACGTAAAACAAAATCTCAAGGAAACCATAACGGTGTTCATAAATCTTTATAGAATTTGTACTTAGAGAAGTAAAGTGAGTGTGTAGTACGTATGCGGAGGTTACGCAGGTGCTCCGGACTGTTCTGTCGTTCCCAAACACTATATCGGATGACGTACGGTAGGGTCGCGTTGAGATATTACACCTTTATCGATTAATGTGGATCTTTTTCCAATATTTCCAGTGTTTTTTCAGGAAAAATTCTGTGTACTTAAGCGTGTTAGGTTAGTCTCTTCAAAAGAGGTTTTTTTTTTTTTTCCACAGGAGGAAATCGCCGGATCCCCACCCGCGCGGCAGGTGGGGTATGTGGGAGTTGAACCTCACTAAAAACTCCTGCCGCTCACAACCGGCGCCCTACCTCGGACCGGGCCGGAGCCCAGTCGGGGCTATTGAAACGGCGGGACAGGGTTGACGCAGAGCACATTACATCCATCCCACCGTCCCACNTCCTGCCGCTCACAACCGGCGCCCTACCTCGGACCGGGCCGGAGCCCAGTCGGGGCTATTGAAACGGCGGGACAGGGTTGACGCAGAGCACATTACATCCATCCCACCGTCCCACGGACGCCGGACCGGCGGCCGCCAGCGACACGACCACCGGTTCCCTCGTTCAGCGGGCCGAGAGCCCGCTTTGATGGCGCCGCGTTACACCTAATAAAACTTGGTAGGTATTATGGCAGAGGATGCTGTGAAATCTGCATGGTACGGTACCAATATCCTGTGTATTTCAATCATTCGAGTGGATTTGACATCACACGCTTAAGGCCTCAAGTCAGCGAGAATCAATATGTATGTTCTCATATCCATGCACATCTGATAATAACACAAGATCTGTAAATTGGTATACTGAGTCTCTAAAAGTATAATTATGTACTTAAGTTTTCTAAAGCTTCCTGGCATTATTGTGGGCGTACATCGAAAACTTTCTAACTCTGATTAATAGCTCTGAAAATTCTGGATTTCTAATTTCATTCCAGATTTAACTTCAGAAGACGTCTCTTATGGAAAGTTTAGCACTTCAATACTTGAATGATGTTAAATTTGAGTCTTCTAAAAGTTGTGTCAAAGTACACGACAGATAGTTTTCTAGTGTGTAAGGATTTGAAAGATTGAAGACGTTAAGTTAATTTTATGTTCCATATTATGGACAAGCGGGGGGGGGGGGCTTATATTTGTAAAATAGCAGTTTGTTACAACTCTGTTTTCTATATTATGTATAATCGGTGCGACAAATCGCCAATGATCTTATAGCCTCAAAGTAGTGTTCTCCGAAATTACGAGGTCAAAGATATTAATATTACATACATTGAAACGTGTACATTTGTAAATTCAGTAAAAAAATATCGGGAATCCATTTCCGATATTCTCGATTTTTTGTTGTTGTTAGATTGGCCCATCTGTTTTCCATTTTGGCGCGGAATTTGAGTTATATCTGTTGTTTAGATTAAATACAGTACTATTTTTAGTTATATCATATCTAGTGTGTATTGCGATTATTATTATTTCATTATGAAAAAAAAACATAGAACAAATAACTAAGTAGGTTGTCTTAAATTTAGTATCTCTAAAGGAATTTCATGTTAGGAGTCACTGAAAAGTTACAGAAAGCTTACGATAAATCGACATTATTAAAAACACGTGGTTATTAATAGTTCAAAGCGTTTGAAAGTGGTCGAAATATAAGATTTATCTCGCTCTGATAGGCCATCAATGCCTGCAACTGAAGCTAGTGACTGAAAGTCCTCATTGAAGTTTGAAAGAAATAGCCACGGAACTTTCTATGTATCACGAGTCGATCCGTACCATTTAATCGCTTGTGTATCGAACAACATGCCGCTCAGCCAGTCAGAAGACCAGAATTTTCTTCAAAAATTCAATCGCATAACAGTTTCTGAAGACATCCTAGTCAATTCCGATCCAACTTTCATGAGACGCATTGTTACTGGTAACGAAACATGTATTAACGAGCTTGAGATGCAAACTAGTCAACAAGCTTCGGAAACTGAAAAAACCGCGCCAAAATCGATTAAATGTCAAATTTACGTTGACTGTTTTCTTTGACTATCGCGGTTTTTGCGCACTCGGAATTTTTGTCGGAAGGGCAAACGGTAAATAAAGATTATTTGAGCGTTATGTGGCGTTTAAGAGAGGAGAAGAATATAGTTAGCACGATTCAGGTTTTGTCAAATATTCTATGGTAGCTATCGAAGCACCCTCTATTAATTCCTATTCTCACTGATTTGGATCAGAACATAGTGTCGTCAGATCATAAAATAAGTCATTGGGCGAATAAAGACCTCTCGTTTCTAAGAACAGTGTACGTCAGCTCGACTGTGAAGCTGCAAGTCAGCGTAATCTGTGACTTATCCAACATGTTTTCTGACCCCACCTACTGTAGTAAGGATCTTGACCTTGTCCTTGAAAACCGACTAATTGTTTTATTTATTTATTTTATTGCTTATATGGGTGGACGAGCTCACAGCCCACCTGGTGTTAAGTGGTTACTGGGGCCCATAGACATCTACAATGTAAATGCGTCCCCCATCTTGAGATATAAGTTCTAAGGTCTCAAGTATAGTTACAACGGCTGCCCCACCCTCCAAACCGAAACGCATTACTGTTTCACAGCAGAAACAGGCAGGGCGGCGGACCTACGCGTGTGGACTCACAAGAGGTCCTACCAACGGTAGTTACGCAAATTATATTTGCGGATTTGAACTTTATTACACGATGTTATTTTATTCCTTCACCGTGTAAGTCAATCGTGAACATTTCTTCAGTACATATTTCATTAGAAAAATTGGTACCCGCCTGCGCGATTCGAACACCGGTGCATCGCTTCAACACGAATGCACCGGACGTCTTATTCTTTAGGGCGCGACGACTTTTATATCATTAAATAACGTTATATGAAACTTACCGTTAATGACAAGATGTGCGCCCACTAGCAGGGCGAGGTGCAAGGCGCTCGCGCTCGGCATGGCACTCGCTAACGGGCCCGGCCCCGCGCGCCCCCTCTGCCCTTCCGCATGCCCAGACGGACCTCAAACGCGACACACGCGCCACACAACTTTTCACTGCACTCTAACACGATATTGTTTCACTCACACCCGACAGACACATCTACGCGATTTTCGAATATTTGACTGGTCCCTGGACATTTACAACCTGGAAATAAAATTTATGATAAATAAACTAGAAAGGAGGATTTATATATTAAGGACACCACAACATTTCAAGTCGATGGGGATGTTGCAATAACTGGGAGTAAGAACTGCTTATTCCAGCGAGAATCGTTCAAGATCTTGCCCCATGGAATTATCTCCGCCATAAGGCGTCAACAAAGAACAGTATCCACCAATGGTTTTCGGTGTCATTGTCATTTGTTTCATACTCAAATTTAATATTATATTCCATTTTGCAGATTAATGATTGCTCTGGTGCAAAATATCCAGTTAATATACGACTATTATTACAATTCGACCGTGCGCGTGTGGATTGCCATAACAAGAACCTCAGAATTTCACTTAAAACAAAAACAAAATGAAACAACCCCATTGTGTTGAAAATAATGTTTTTCAACCGAACATAATTACAGAAGCAGAATAAATAACGGGCGGGACTAATTAGTAACGGTCCNGATTGCTCTTGTGCAAAATATCCAGTTAATATACGACTATTATTACAATTCGACCGTGCGCGTGTGGATTGCCATAACAAGAACCTCAGAATTTCACTTAAAACAAAAACAAAATGAAACAACCCCATTGTGTTGAAAATAATGTTTTTCAACCGAACATAATTACAGAAGCAGAATAAATAACGGGCGGGACTAATTAGTAACGGTCCGAGGATCGGTGTTGCTAATGAATTTCGCAGTTACGGTGACTGACGCTTCTGCGTTACCAATGTTCTTTCAGCCGTGTTTAACGCGAAAAGGTAATACGCATGCCCGCGAGGCTTCTCAATTAAAATTTTACAAAACTTTTGACACCGAACAAGGTTGTTTTGTTTCCTGAAATTCTAATCTAAAGAACATTCCAAAGAATTGTAATATAGTCGGTTTTAAAAACTTTATTTAATTCCGATAAACAGATACTTCTGGTTCCTTCTAAGAATGTTTTACAAATCGTATTCTTGTGCGACACTTGTCATGTTCACGAGCTTTCTGTTCAATTTAATTAAATCTGGAATACAAAATCCCGTCCGAAAACACGGATAAACTCGTGCAGATTCATGCAAAGAGCGTAGTGCAGCCAAAATTCTAATGTTATTCACGTTAAGCGCCAAACTGCCAACGCTTATTACATGCAAGACAACGGCTATGAGAATGTCGCAAGTTTGTTATTTTAACAACTTTCACTGTAGGTACTTTACACCGAAGCAATTAGAACTTTCATTAATTTAATAGACAAATGGCCCACCTATATGTTATTTCATTCCAGTAGGGCACAGTCCAGCTCACGACCTATCTGGTGGAAAATTGTTACAACAGGTGATACACAAAAGAAACTGAAAAATGAGATGGAAGTTACAATTGTTTAAAGGACCTCTTACAAAGCACATCATTGGTTTCTGAAGTTCAACGACTTAACATAATATATAATTGAAATCCCAATTAAACACACTCCTGACTTATTACTATACTCCAGTGCTTTTCCCAAGGTAGGTTGCTGTGTTTATGGGCTGTGACACTTAGCATCATCTGTTGCATCAGATGACTGGCCAGGTCACTAAGTACTTAATAATTTTTCGAAGTTTTCATGTCAATTATGTGAAGTATGCCTATATCACGATTTGCAACCTACTGCCTCCCCTCCCCCTTCCCTCGTTTGCAGGATTTAAAGTATCATGGTTAAGGCAAACACCTATTTTTTATTTTTTATTTTTTTTTGGGCCGTGGGCCGAACCTCCTACGAGGTCACTAAACGACTCCCATGCACTCTTACACCCGATGTCCGATCTCCATCCGGTGTCAGAACCCGGTCAGAGTAGGGAGGTTCCCGCGGTCAACACTACAACCAGACACGCGGCGCCACCCCGAGGACGCCCGACCGATGGGTCGTCGAGGCGATAGTCGACGACCAACGACGTCGGTCTCCGCGGAAAAAAAACACCTAACAGAACCGATTCCAAAGCTTGGTAAATCAAAACATGGTAAAGACGAACACTTGAAAGTTATTATGGATGAACGGATCTGTTTCATGAAACTTATGGCTGTGCTCGAGTGGTGGTGGTGAGGTTGATTGGGCGGACGAAAATTCAACCTTAAAATAAATTGATCGAAACAAAATTCTGCCGTTAAAACCAAATTATAAATAATTATATTTTATCAATTTGTATAGAGAAGCTTTTTTCGGGCAACCGAGGAAATAAAAGCAGTTTTACTTAATACCACGGACCTCGTTTCCGGTCACACGAGCTCCAAGCCAAGTTATTCTTCGACTTATTTTTTGTTACAAATGATATTTTTATTAAACAATTTCGGCAGCTGACGGACTTAGCACCAGCAGAATAGTAAATAAAAAAAAATGCATACGAAGAATTAGTTTTTTGGGACGAAGTTTCTGTGCCCAAGTACCTATTTACGCTTACGAAACAAATCTCTTTAGTTTTTCTGAAATCAGACGTTGTTATATTCTCAACCTCAAATTTACAAGCGTTTGTATTAGCAGCCGTTAGGAATGTGTTCAAATAATTAAGAGCATAGCTGATAGCTTTTAGATCCGAAGTTTTATAGCATCGTTCGGTGCTCGGCTGCCGGGAAATAACCTCAACAAGCTTTTCGTTATCACTGCGACCGTTATCTTTGTTATCACTGCGACCGTTATCTTTTTCACCTTACATTTGAAGCTTCTTTAACAGTATTAAAAAATATAAGTTAATTTTAATTTCAATAAAAGATATACAATATTCTTGCACCTGAAACGGCTTTTATAGACTTTTTTGTTGTAAAAGATTAGACATGTCTCTATTGGCCGTTCCGCTGCGTCATACTTTTTGTACTTTTCTCAATGAATAAGTCAATCAAGGTCCACCTGATGTTTAGTTTTCACAGGGAAAGGAGTGAAACTATCGATAAAAGACAAAGCTGCCATGTCTTCGTGTCAAAATATGATCGCATTTTACGGCTCAGATCTGCAGACGAGTCAGGAGCTAAGTTATTAGTTATTGAAGTAAACAGATACGAAGACATGGAGGCCGCCACCCGTCTAGACATTGAGCTCGGCAGTCTGCATGCATTTGGCATAGAACAACGACCATCGTCTGCTGAATAATCCTAACTCTGCAAGTGGAAACTTTGAAACCCATGATTGCTTCACGACAGACACACTCACAGCGGTACCTTCAAAGTTTTTATTATTTTACTAATCCCGAAAATTATGGACACAAAGGTTTTCATCAACGCTGGCCGCTTGCTACTAGATATATTTTATAAAGTGTGTGGATTTTTTGTTTCTAATTAACCTCTATTTTATGTCTTAAAAGTGGTGTGATACGGAGACAAAAAAAAGATGTGTGGTGTCATGGGACACCGGACAGGAACGAATTTCCTTATTATAAAAATATTAATTTTAAGTTATATTCGAGGTATAAAGAAAATAATTATTCGGGTATACATTTTTTATTGATAAGAATAAAAAAACTACATTATCAACTTCATTTTATTCACAATGATTTATCAAAAATAAATATAAATAATATACAAAGAAACAGCTATTTATGTGAATAATAATAATGACCGTCAGCATGTAGACTATACATTAGACACTATAGCCATTAATTATACTAAGACTATACATAAATAATAAAAATCTCCTGCTGTTCGTTCCAACAAGGATTGCTGCCTGATTTTTTTAATTGCAAACAAAATCTTTGTACGCCGACCAAATGATTTCAATGCTGTTTTTTTGTGGCTCACCAAATTTTATAATTGCTAAACATTTCATTACTTCTCTATTATTATTGTGTGACATTCATATTATAATATAATACAGATGTTAGATGCGTTAGTAACTATTGCACTCATTCCATAATTTCAACAGCCTAAGTTGTTCCCATAAAAATTGATAGATGGCAGTAGTATCTCTAAAAATAAAAAGTGTCGTGACAACTTTTCGTAAGAATTTTTTCCGTCTAGCCCCCTTTCACAACGCGCGATAAGGAACTTCGTTCCAAAAAATATCCTTGTTAGGACAAGTAGTTAGTTTCTCTAAATAATGCATAATTGTCATAATTGCGCGTCAAAGCTAAAATTCTAGTTAAGATTATTTAGTATACAGGCTTCACTGGTGGTAGGACCTCTTGTGAGTCCGCGCGGGTAGGTACCACCACCCTGCCTATTTCTGCCGTGAAGCAGTAATGCGTTTCGGTTTGAAGGGTGGGGCAGCCGTTGTAACTATACTGAGATTTTAAAACTTATATCTCAGGGTAGGTGGCGCATTTACGTTGTAGATGTCTATGGGCTCCAGTAACCACTTAACACCTGGTGGGTTGTGAGCTCGTCCATCCATCTAAGCAAACTTGTCTCATGTGTGTTTCTGAATATCCCAGACCGGACTAGTTACATCTTAATTAACCTTTTCTGATAAATAGCCTTACAGATTATAGCCGTGTGCGACGCCGCGCCTCTATGCAAACGCCGTATCAACAGCATTGTGTTATAAAATCAAAACGCGTAGAATTTATACAACGAAGTGCTTTGTGGTAACGAAGTGTGCGGCGGGTATCCATCATATAACATAAGATATTTGACAGGTGGCTGAATGTCGCTTACGATAAATAAGATAAGCTTGCATATATACAAGTTTCGAACAACAACAATTAGACCGTCGGTCTACCGAGAAATATCACCCGATTCATGGAAGATCTTCCCTCCGTTGTTAAAACCTTCCACAATTGTAAATGAGTTGGGAGAAGATAGCATCGACAACCTCCACACATTTCTAAAAGAATCGTTAACACCCAAAAAGCGTCATAAACTCTCACAGCAGTTAAACTTCACGAAATTTAAAAAGAAAAATATTCACAATTTGAGTTTTTCTTTATCAACAGGCTGCACTCGTGACACCCCCCAGCAACCCCGTAAAGTTTCACTCTCAAAGGAAACGTGGAAACCACTTAAGTACAAAAATTACCGAAGTATTTTCCCCCAAGCTGATAGGAAA